ATGTACTCTCAACTGGGTTTTATGGTAATCGGTAGTTCTTCGTTTACCTAGCGTATGAAGGGAAGTTCAAGAAATTCCGTTAAGATTTTGGTGGTACAAACTTACATAAAATGACATTGTTAGCCATCGGCATGTGCGTCCGAGTAGTTCTTTGTTTCTCGAACGTGAACTCTTAATTCTTTCATAATTTTGCGATTCACAATCGTTATGAGTTTCTTATCCTTGTACAATAATTGTTTGTAGCGATATAGCAACAAGAAACTAGGGACGGTTTTATAGCATGGACTACTTTTTCCAAAACATACCATTGTCATGCAAGTATTGCCATTACTGATTTTTCATCGCACATTTGTACTAAGGTATAGGAACTTGAGTATTGTTGCAAATAAAGCTTTTCTTTCATTTTTTTGGTCTCCAAGATTTTTATCTCAATAAGATACTTATATGAAAATTTTCATATTAACATTGCCAGAAATTAAGCAGATAATAACTCTCAGGCAGAGCTTAGTATGTTGCCGTGGGACCTCCTTCTTTGGTAACTTTTCTTTTCAAAAGTGAGATACACTCAATTAAAGGACATTTGAAAAGCTAGTCTTATCCAAACAGACTTTCTTTTTCTTTGAAATGAACGGATTAATGCACTTTCTAGAAAAAAAACTGAAGCAGCATCAACAACGCAGAACAGCCGACAAGCTATCGAAGGGTTTGTACACTGCAAGGCGGATTTCATGAAAGATTGAATGTTTAAACATATAGAGACGCTTTTTGTTGCTATCTCATCTAGCTATAACTGTCAACATCTGAATGAAAGTTTTTTTTTCTGCAAAAGCCAGATATGGATGTGACACCTGAATTGACGGAGCTTTCTAGCACTTGTATTCTCTTATGATGGTATGGAAACTTTAGACACATTAGCACACCGTTCTAAATGTGAAGTCAACGAAATCAGAAGGATATTTGTAAAAGTTAAAATGGTCTATATTTTGTTTTGGCATTGATCTATCTTTTAACATTGTTTCAATTTAATTTTACTCAAAACATTGACTTTGCGTGTAAATTTGATTCAAATGTTGAAAGTACATAGCCTTCTCACTAGCCTATCGGCAGATGTTGGTAGCATGTCTTCATTATATGATAACGAAGTAATTGTTGAGATCGGTGTATCGGTGTCGGTACTTATTAGTGTGAATCGACTATAAAAAATTATTTCTTTTTGAATTTTATGGAGCAAAATTTATTATTGTTGGATGATTCCATCAATACTCACCGCATCTACTACCCCATCATTCCATCGCCTCTACAATGTAAAGAAAAGTAAATGAGGCTAATATGTAGGCTTTTCAAATGGGCAACACTTGAAAGAGCAAGCATTAACGATTACAATATAACGATGCCCTTCCTTTAACTTCTGTCTGCCCTTTTCACAAAACTTGTAGCTGTACAAAATTTGACTATGCCTTACTTAGATGTTG